GACCACTTCCACCGCAGATCCTCTTATGTTCAGGGGGGTGTAGATGTGATGTAAATGAAAAATAAATTTAATAAAGAACTCTAACAATGTAAGGGTTCTAGCTGTGAACTTCTGTTGCTTTTGGATTAGAGCTTTGATGGAACAAAAACAGCTGAAGAGAACAGTTAGAGCTTCAAAGCAATTTTTGTTTTATAGCAACATTTTATTACACCGAAGAATCTGGGTAAAGGTCATGACTCGATTTAAAAGCTTGAAATATCAAATGACAAACTGGTGCTTCTCCCTTGTTGTTACCTGTGGTGAACTGTGACTCTAGGAGCTAGGCCTCCAGTTAGGACGCAACATTGGAAAAATCTAACCAGAGAAATTGCATTTCCTGCGAAAATGCAGTGTGAATGCTTAGTGCGCTAGAACTTGGTGAAAAACAACTGAAGTTAGCTAAAAAAAATTAAAAAAAATTGAAATGTAGCTGAAATGGAAGAACAAGCCTAAATTAGCAGAAGAAAACAGAAATAACATATTTGCTGAATTAGGTTTTAAATAAGTTGAATTTAGAACAAAAATTGGAAAATTAGCTAAAAAAGAAAAAAAGCTGAAATTAGCAAAAAATAGCTGAAAAGTAGCTTAAAAGGAACAAAAGAAGCTTAAACTACCAGAAATGGAAAGAACTAAAATGAGCTAAAAAAAAAAAATAATAATAATAATGTGGAATTAGCTGAAAATGTAGATCAGATCATCCCTGATGCAGCCTTACATTTCTATGCCGACGACACAGTTGTTTATTGTCGAGCTAAAACAGTTGCTAAGGTTTTCCAGCTTTTACAGTCTGCATTCGAGATCATCCAGTAAGATTTGTTCCATCGCAAACTGGTGCTAAATGTTGACGAAACCAAAGGGATGTTTTCAAACAGGAAGTTGGTACCAGCTGTTCTTCCTTCAATTTAATCTACAAATGGTGCCCCTATTGTTTGCTATGGTGCTTGCTGAGGTAGATTTTTTTTTGCTACCTTACACCATGCCCTGTGCCAAGGATCTTTATATATATATATATATATATACCTTCTCTCCTCATGTTTTTTTTACCCCTTTTCTTGTCTAAGCAATAAAGGCAGCGCTTCATAAGAAGCCGCAGCCCCAGTGCGCTTCCGTCTACCATTCAGACGGCTGTACTTAACTGTGCAATTACAATAAAGTTGATTCTGATTCTATTGAGTTTGCCGATTCTTATAAATACTTGGGTATTTTGGTTGATGCACCTCTCTCTTTTAAGCCTCATGTTGAAAACTTGGTAAAGAAATTGAAAGTAAAAATTGGGTTTCTTTTTTAGAAAAGATCTTGTTTAACTTTGAGCACTAGGAAACACCTTGTAACTGTGACTTTCCTTCCTTCTATTGACTATGATGACATTATTCACACGAACATCCCTACAAGCACTCTGCAGATGTTGGACGCTGTCTATCACAGTGCGCTAAGATTCATAACTGGCTGTAACTATTGTACCCACCATTGCACCCTGTATTCACTGGTTAACTGGCCATTAACTTCACGCAGACTCTCCCACTGGTACATTTTCATCTTTAAATCACTTCTTGGTCTGCTGCTTTCATACTTCTCCTCCTGCATGTCATTTCGTCAGTGCAGCTACAGCGTGCGCTCTCAGGACATCATTACCTGCAGTGTCCCATCAGTGCGGACTGAATTTAGCAAAAGGGCCTTCTCTTACTCCGCTTCTGCATCCCGGAATATCTTGCAAAAAGATCTGAAGTTCCTGTTTTTAGTATTTCACATTGTTTTATAATGTGGCTTGTTTTTACTACTTCAATTACTCTTTAAAGTTGTTGTTGTTGTTCTTTTCAGGTAAATCATATAAATCTTTTCTATTTTTTTTGTACTTGTGGCTAGTCAAAAGGCTAGCCAAAAGTTAACATAAGCAAAACACTAACTAAAAACTAGAAGTAGCAAAGAACTGGCTAAAAGTAGCAAAACACAAGCTAAAGTTATAAGCAACAAATGGTAGTTAGAAGCTAAATATAACAAAAGAGCAGCTAAAAGCTAAAAAATAGCCAAACTGCTAGTGATTCTTGTTATTTTTAACTCCTCTAACTTGGGCCTGTCTCTGTTTGTCTGCTAAATGTTAGGCTGTATTTTTCTTGATGACATCATTTTCAGTAATGACATCTCACAGCTAAATATTAGGGAGACAAAACGTCCCCCCACCCTCTGCACCATCGGGTCCACTCAGTTTTTCTTATTTCAGGTTCTGAAAGTTGGCGACCCTGATATGAGCGTAGAATGCAAAACCATCCTAAAAACATCTAACAAATTTCAGTCAAGTCATCTGGATGGTTTCTGTTTTTGTTGAGACGTTTCATCCTTCATTCACAGGACTTCATCAGGAGCCACATACAAACTCAGTCCCACAAGCACCACACTCCCATAGTGAACCAACCAGTTTGCTGGTGATGAGATGGCTTCTGGAGCCCGCCCTCTCCCTCTTTGACTCCTCTGAGGCAGCCATAGCCAAAATGGTTCAAAACATCAAAGTTCATGCTCAATAATCCAGTTAAAAAAATCCTGATGAAGTCCTTTGGATGAAGGACGAAACGTCTAAAGAAACCGTCCAAATGACCTGACTGAACGATGTTGGATTTTTTTACTAGGATTATTGAGCATGAACTTTGACATCCTAAAAACAAGTTTAATGACAGGCCCTAATTTTCAATTTTAACAGAGTTTTGTGAATTTTAACCCATAACGTTGAGGAAATATCATCCTCTGTTGGATGCCACATATTAAAAACAGAACATCAGAACAACAGTAGGAAATATTCAGTACCATCGTGAGCCACACGGTCAGGCAGCAGAACCACAACCCCTTTAAACATCACCTTCACCATCATCCATACCTGTTGCCTGGACCTCAGAACCAGCAGCAGCAACGTCAGCTTGGTCTGTCTAGTCCGTCTGTGATCGCTTTGGGCGACGAGGAGGAGTTATTGACCGAGAGGTCGAAGTTTGATGAGTGAGACGTGTTTGATGTTTACCTCAATCACTTCATTAAAAACTGGATGTTTGGTTCTGAAAAGGTCCAGAGTCTGAAAATTAGACTGAATGCTGATCAGCACTCAACCCTAACCCACCAACGGGACTTCTTCTAATGGGGCCGGGGCTTTGAGCCCCATAAGGAGCAAGTGGTCCTCACAATGTAGTATAAGTTGGAAAAATGGGCCTTACAAAGTAGCATAAACAAGGACACACACACACACACAACTAAAGTCTGATCTCTCATCATCTGGACTGTCTTTCTCCTCTGGACTATCTTCCGTGTTCAAAAACACCAGCGAGCCAGCGAAGGTTGGCAGCTTTTATTTTGAAAAGGTGTCTGCAGCTAGTTAAGGTGGATGATTTGATGAACTAAACTAAGGCTATCAATAGTTAAATCCATAAAGTTGGTTTAATACTGTTCAGTGTTTCAATAAAACGTAAGACAGACAGTAACGAAGATCCAAAGTTTGATGTTTAGAACCAAAACAACTGAGACTTCAACACTTTGACTTAAAGTTTACCTTCTGTGTTTTAGCCTTGCTTTTACTTTTGTAAATCTGCACATCTTTGGAGCTTTGTGGCCTTGCGTTTAGATTTGTTGTGAAGCTGCAGCTCATCAGTTCCTGCAGCTGCCTGCAGAGGACGCAACTCACCACCAGCCTCTGCAGGAAACCAACTCCACCCATTATCTCTCTCAGAAACTCCACCTTCAGTCTGAAATCTGACTCCTCCACCTTCAGTCTGACATCTGACTCCTCCACCTTCAAGCTCACAGCTGACTCCTCCACCATGGGCTCCCGGGTGGCTGCAGCCTGGTCTCTGTGCCGCCCCCGGGTCTCTGCCCAGATCCCCAGACACACATCCTGGACCAGGAGGAACCTGAATGTCCAGGCAGTAAATCTGAAGAGCCTGGAGGATCTGCCAGGACCCAACTGGTGCACCACCCTGTACTGGTTGTTTGTCAAAGGGTACGCTGACAAAGGACACTTGCTGCAGGTATGGTTCTTCTGGGAGGCTTTTAATGGCAGCATCTGCCAGGGCGCTTAAACAACTAAGTATTTGATTATTTTTTTTAACTTATTCTAATATAACAGGAACTCAAATGTTACAGCAACTTTTACAAAAAAATGTCAAACTTTTTACTCACCTGCTGGCTGGGCCGGATTTTAGCAGGGGCTTACAGGGGCTGCAGCCCGGGGCCCCGGCATTTCAGGGGCCCCGAAGGATGTTTTATGTTTTTGTGAATGGATAGTGTCAGAATTTAATCAATGACTATGATGATTTTGACAGCACCGATGAAAAATGTTCCAATTTGTTCTGGAAAACGTCCATCTTGAATGCTTGCTTGTTATTGGTCCACTTTTGACGCATCTTACGCATTGGGGAGGAGCGTCAGGGAATATTATTTTACAATGGCAGACAACAGTGTTTGTGGTTCTAGTTCCTCCAAATAAGATGAATGCAGAAGTGTCATTAATAAATGGAAATCTGTATTTTGTTCTTCATATTTTTCAAGATGTTCTCTGTAAAAACCTCTCTCTCTCTCTCTCTCTCTCTCTCTCTC